CGTTGTTCAGCAGGTCAACAATTTGAAGAAACCAGCGGAGTGACATTCTAGTTTTCGCTTTAATTTACGCTTACTACATTTTACATTGTTTGACATTAGTTCATTTTTGCAATTGTTTCCTCTTTTTGGATATTGTACTACCTTACACTCATTTTTTTCGATTTAATGTTATTTTCTTTTCAGTATTTTCCTTAATTATGTTTCTCGTTAATTTTTATTCTGTCATTAGTCCATCATAAGTCATAGTACCATATTCTCCACTGTTAAAACGCCCCACAAGCAAAATTCTGCAATTCTGCAGACTTTGCTGCTGTGACGGTCGTCACATTCCCACCACGGTCGTCACGCGTGTTACGACCGTCACAGATCCCTGACGGTCGTCATGCAGAAAAAACCCCAATTCTGTCTAAAATAGAGTTGCGCCCCTCTCCACTTCCCCTCCCCTAATTCCCCACTATCCCATTATTAAAACCCACTCAAAACCCTCTGAATCCCCCATAAAACCTCCACCATTTTCAACTTCCAATTCACCCTTATATATTACCTTCTGCATTCCCTTCCCTCACCATTCTCAAAAACTTCCTACTCTCAAACCTCTGCACTTCTCTTACCAAAATGGCCAGTGCAAACCCCGATTTGAGCAACATCACCTTCCGAGAAGGAGAGGCCGGCGAACGGCAGCATACTAACTTCCTAGCATTCCATCAACGGTCGCTTCAACCGACCTGATATGCTCATCTGAATTCTATGACGGAACTCGGGATTCTCGACGGCGTCACTTGGATGTTGCAGAGAGTCGGCATCTGGCATCTCTGCACCAATCCCCAACCCACCTACGAGCAACTCACTCTGGAGTTTCTCAGCTCTTTCGCCTACACAACATCATTCGGCGATGCCAACCAACTTCACGGCGCCGCCTGCTTTCGGCTGTTCGGCACTGAATATCAGGTACCCCAGGACCGTATCGCCGTCATCCTACAATTAACTCACAGCGACGATGCTCACCGCTGCATCTCCAATCAGTTCTACCAAGAGGCCTTCCCTCTCTGGAACCGACTGACCGGAACCACACCAGACATCTGGGACACGCTGAATGCCATTCATATCCACAACCCAGCTATCCGCTACTTCCACCGTGTGTTGAGCAACACAATATTCGCTCGTGACAGTAACCATAAGGTCAACTCGAAGGAGCTGTTTTTCCTCCGCTGCGTGTTCACTTCCGAGCCGGTTAACGCCGCCCCGTTTCTCTTGGCTCACATTCAGGCCAACTATAACCGCGACTCTAAACCGTTCTATTTCGGTGGCATCATCACATCCATCGCCATAGGCCTCGGTCTTGGCGACCGCCTCCAGACACTCCGCCAGATGCCCCCCGTATTCCTGGACACCGACCACTGCCGCGCCTCCCACCTCATCAAGGCCCACCGTGATGGGCGATATCATCCTGTAGTGCAAGGCCGCACTATCCAGAGCATCATCATGCCTTCACGCTCCCAGATGCATCCAGAGGACAGAGCCAACTGGCTCTTCGACACCGCTGCCCCTGCTACCCCAACACAGGATAATATCCCAGAGCCCAGGGACGAAGTTCAGGAGGAGCTAGACAGAGCCGACCAGCCTGAGCCATCACAAGCAGCTGCTGTCGCTGGCCCTTCCACGCGCCGCCGCCCCTGTCCTGCCACTGATGACACATCCGCAGCCCTCCTCTGCTGCATCGAGCAACAGAACCAGATGATGCTTATGATGGAGCAGCAGAACCGAAGAGCTGAGGAATTTGAGGCATGACAGAGAGAGCAAACTGGCCAAATTCAGCAATCTTTGCAGATTATGCACGATATCCATTCCGGCATGGCTGACGAGATGGCACACCTCACTGTGCGAGTCGACAGTCTCCGGGATTACATATTCCACACCGGAGCTCTGAACCTCGCCGCCCGTGACCCCCCAGCCAGAGGTCGAGGAAGAGATCGAGGACGAGGACGAAAATAGTAGTATTTTTCATTTTTGCCATTTTTGTTGTTTCTTTCTTTATTTCCTTTGTATTCCTCCCTTCCGCATTCTTTCAAATCAGTGAGGACACTGATTGAGATAGTGTGGGAGCGGATCATTATTTCCCTTTTCGTTTCCCTTTCTCATGTTATTTCTCATTGTACTTTTTCTTTCAAATTTGAAGTAATTTTAATTTTCGGCAAATAAGCTCTTATATATATTTATCTCCGTTACGTGAACTCCCCGCATTTCATATGACTATACAAAAAAAAAAACATTTAAACTCCTTGCCTCAAAGCATCACAAGGACACGCCAAAATTCAATCAAGCATGGAAACCCCGAGAAGAAAATTCTAACAATTCCATTACCATCCTGACACCTTAGACCTCCAGTTTATACGAGTCCATTGCACTACCTACACATACCGAAGCTTCAAGCTCCTATTCAAACGTAGCCTCCAGTAATTTATACAAGCAGTCAGCACCATCTTAAATGCTTCTAAGCAATGAAACCGATGCAAATAAGTGTGTGATCTCTAACTCAAAATGAAAAAAATCATAAAGAAGAAAAGCCATATAGCCTGAGTATAGAGACATGTTCCTTCTAAGTTAGGTGCTCCTCACCCGAGCATTTAGCCCAACGGTATAGAAAGTCTTTGGAAATCAATAGCATAAGCGTATGTGCAGAGAAGAATCGAAATAGAAAAGAGATCATAGCCACTAACAGGTTGACTTGCCATGAAAGTATATGGATAACGGGCTTAATGTGACTGCGCTAGAACAAACTGGGTAAAACTTGTTGCAAGGAACTTGACGCCAAGCTGCAGTAGCATGATTGGAACTGGCTTGCATAAAAAGGAGGCCTTCAAAGACTTACAACTCAGTGTCACCACCATATGTGTCACCACCATATGTGTTTTGTTTCAATTTAAGTCTTGGCATTCCTAACTAATGATTTGAAAAACCTTTCGGAAAGGAGAAGTGTGCCGCGTGTTTGCCACATTTCCAAATTTTCCAACTTTTACTTGAGGACAAGTAAAGATTCAAGACATGTGTTTTAACTAATATTTGACTGATTTCACTCCGAATTCAGGACATTCCATGCTATTTGTCTAAGTATTATGCAGGTATTCGAAGAACATGTATATGAAGAAAAGGAGCAAAAACAAGTGAAAAACAGATGAAAAACCAAGAGAAAAAACAGCAGAAACGAGTTTTACTGATGTGGCGACCGTCACACAGCCGTTACGCTTGTCATGCGTGTGACGACCGTCACACCTCCATGACGACCGTCATGCAGCCAGAACGTGCAGAATGAAGTCACGTGCTAAAATTCCCCCTCAAAGACCAAAAGTATGGCCACTAACTCCTACTTTTCTGCCTCAAACCCACTTCATGAAGGAATAACCGTTAGATACTCTCTCTCTATAAAAGGAAGATGTTTGGACCTGAAAAAGGGAGCCGCAGTCAAGACAACGAAGTGCTGCCAATTCATCTTCAGAGCAACCTTACCGTTCTTATATTCTTATTTGTTTCTCTTTTCCTTCTCTGTATTCTTTGATATTTTGTAATTCCCATTTTCCTTATACGATCAATTGGCACAAAGACCAGAATCCTGCCAACATTGTGGAGGATCTGCCCAAAAGCCAATTGGAATATTTCCAGGTTTCCATTTTTAATCGTAATTGCAATTTTCATTATGATGTATGTTCTTAATTACTGCTTTTATTTATGTATTACCATTTCTTTTTCCATGTCTAGCTAAATTACCGTAATCGATATGTAATAATAATTCAGACGGAATTTGATAATAATTGGCGTAGTCTTTCTCTTTTCAAAACTCAGTTATGGTTTTAGTTTTTAATCAAAATTCTAAATAAACCTTTGTCACGACAGTGAGAAGCTATTTACGGTGGTTTTGCCACGACAGTGGGAAACCATATTAAGGTACGAACCAACAAGCGACAGCTGAGGCTAAGACCAGATAGTAAAAACTAGGCATTCGATTTAAAAACAGCGAAAGCGCTTTAAAAAGGATTAGAACTTAGAGATTTTCAAAAGGTAACTTTAACCCCGAACGGGATAGCGACAGCATACGTTCCGCCTTAGAGTTGCGACTAGCGTCAACAACCATCGTGAGACAAAAGTCTTTAGATCACTATTTTCTTCTTAAACTAAGTTTGAAAACACTTAATATGCCAATAAATTGTCAAATCCTCGAAGAACAAAATTATTGCATATCGATTCATAAATTCATATCTTAAGTAAAAGTTTTAGTTCCCTTTAGTTTAAGCATTTATTGTGCCATTATTCAACTTGAAACCAAGCCGACCTAGCTAAACACCGTAACACTCGATAATACTAGATTGATTACGAGTCCCTGTGGGATCGATATCTATTATTACTACGCGATAGACTGTGCACTTGTAGTTAGATTTGTTAGACATAGAAAGTCGCGATCACGTACGATCTTAGAAGTTAAAGAATATCCTGATAACTATGGACAGAGGGAGTAATCTAGACTTAATTCTTAAATTTTTAGAGTTTTATATGGTGATAGTTTCTATTGAGAATTTAGAAGTTCATATTGGAATAGTTTAATAGTTTTAAATGTACAAGTTGTAGTTTTTAGTTTTGCGCAGTTTGACATCAATGAGTCAACTACTCGTATTTGGGTTAAAAAGCTTTTCTTTCTTTAGGACACGTCTTGGATCTCTTTGTTCTTTACACGTTAAAATTTTGGGATCATGTTCAGTGTGTATTAACTACAATAAACTATAGTCAAACCCATTATTCTACCTTGTCTGGTGGCTTAACTACAACAAACTTTTCCCATTTACCTATTTGACCAAAGTCAAAGCTATTTTCATAATACATTTTTATTAGGTGAAATTATTGCGGGATCTATTAAATCACACTCTTCCAATAAATTAGTATGATGGCTTATTTGGACACAAATTTCCCCGTGTCAAGAAATTATACTTTATGTAACGCTTGAACCATGTCCAATGTACGCTGGTGTCATTCTTCAGGAAAGAGTAGAAATTGTTGTGTGGGGAGCTCCCAATAAGCTTCTTGGAGCTGATGGTAGCTGGATTAGGTATGCAGTCAATATACTTGTTTGTATGCAATGGCATAGAATCTTTAATGTTTGGTCATTCTATATACCTTTAGAAATAAACAATGATAATGATAATGATAAAAATTATTTTACAGGTTTTTCCCCGACGGAGGAGAGAATGTTTCAGAAGCAAGATATATATCTCTTGCACTAGTTCACCCATTCCATCCGAAAATGAAAATAAGAAGAGGAGTATTGGCGACAGAGTGTACGGATGTAATGCATCAATTCTTTCAACTGAGAAGGACAACTAAGAAGGAAGAGGTACCAAAGGAACCCTCTTGCCTTCCTGTTACTCACCACCATCCTACCAAGTTACTTAATAAGATACATGACATATTTCATGTAATGTTTTGTCTGTAAGAGACTAGGTTGACATCCTATTTTTCTCTGTTTTAAATGACCGTAAGAATTAAATTCTCAATTTTGTTGTAGCAAGTTTTGTCATACTTGGTCAATAATGCATTATGCGTATTCTCTATCATTTTCAATCACCTATAAGGTGACGTGGAATGCAATTTCAACCACTGATTGCAACTTTCATTTCAAGAAATTACTTTGAACTCCAGCATAACAAGGAGGACTTAATTGAGAATTCAGATAGAACATCGGAGTCACCTCTGTACGTTGAAGTTGAACCATCAAATACTAGCAGAAAGGGAAAGAAACCTCATACTTACATATAGGTTCTTTTTATAGAAAATAGTTGCTAAATCATTAAAAATGTAAATGATATCTTTCATTCTTTCTTTCCAAAATCCCTATTTACTCCCAACAAGTTGATGGGAATAGGTCGCGTCGTGGTGTTAGAAGGTTTGAATCTGACCTACGAATTGTTTTTTTTCCATCCAATGTGTTGCTCACCCACCATATTGAAATTTTAATAATGTTTTTGAAATCCGAATTTTATTTTTTGGATGCACCTAAAATGAGAAAAATATGCTAAATGGAAGATGTAAAGACAAAAAACCCAGAGATTGGAATCTGAATCCGCTCTTCATCATATAACATTCATATCTTAAAGCTAGACTAAAACAACGCTGAAATAATTCAAATTTTTTATGGAAATCAATTTTCAGATGCATTTGATTCATATCCCACATCATACCTTTCTCTCTTCCTTCTTTATTTCAAAAAGTTTCTCTGAACTCAAAACATAACTTGTGAGTAAACTTCATTTTCAAACTTTATCACTACTTCTACTATATTGCATTTAAGTCTAATACATTCCTTAATCTCTACTCCACCCTATTCAATCGAGGTTTTTCACTTTTCAAGCTTTATCTCAATTTGATAAGTTTTTCATTTTCTTTATTTTTTTTATTTGTGGTTAATGCATTACCAATAAGTTGTTTATGATACATTAGGTTATAGCTAAAAGCATAATATGTTGGTTAGTGATGCTTGCATTTAAAATCTTTCAAGTTTAGAGCTTAGGGCATGTTATGTTTTGTCTGTTCGTGTTTCTGCCACTCTGATTTCGTTTGGAGATTGGAATCCAGCTGGTTGACTTGTGGGTCATGAATGATATATCCAAATTTACCTAAGTGAGTTATGTGTCACTTTGAGTATACGTATGGTATCCTAGAGCATCTACTGTGCCTACTCCTTCCATTGTCACTTGCAGAGATATTGATGTTATATTTGAGGTGTTTTATGATCATATGGTCCCAGCGCATGTACGTTGTATGTGAGCTCCTCAACCATGAAGTGTGGTATACAGTTACATTCAATGGTTTTATAATATTACATCCTTACATGACACCGGATGCAGATGGAGGTCCACCTAGGACAACTCATCAAGAAATATTATAATACAAACATGTTAAGGCGGACCATGTTATTGATGTGTTACTGATATATTAGCGTATTGTGGCAATTGGGAGAGGAAAATAGAGAGAGAAGAGTTTGAGGAAGGCACTGCTGAGATAGTCAGACCATGATAACCAATACACAATATGCTTTGTAGTATAGGAGGAATCGAGTGGTCAGTGTCGCAGTGAGAACTGGATGTCAAATTATTAATTAATTTGGATCTTAATTCATTAGTTCACCACCGGTCTTTTATTTGTCCAAAGGAAGGGAAAAAGATCGAATTACCCACAATGAAATGCAAATGCAAAAGCTAGAGAGTTATAGGTACGGGGGTTGGTTAAACTTAGGGAAGGTGCTAGCATCCTAAGTTTCTGTAGTACTCTACAGGAACCTCTTATTTTATGTTGTTTATTGCTATGGGTTATTTGCTAAAAGGTGAAAGACCTAGTGGTTTAATTTTAAGTATACTCTCCAAGACGTTGCATCTTGTGCCTACATATCCTAACGGGAATGGAATAAGAGTAATTGTAGTTCCCCTAAAGGGTTTGAGGAATCATTGACTGTTGGTCAAATTTCCAAAGGGATAACGGGTTGTTGATTGATTGATTCTAGGAGAAAAGACGAGTCGTCATATCGAGGGAGAACACTCGACTTAACCACCACAACTTGTATGAGATGGTCTTTGCACCGTCTTGAGAGAAGGGCTCAAACACTCGGATTGTCGACGAGTATGTGTTGCACCTCAAAATTTGCCCAACCTTTTCTGTACTTGGTTTATGTTTCATCTCATTGTTCTAGCATTTGCATTTGCATAGCATTATTCATTTGCAGGGGATCAGGAGAGGTGTGCATAGCAAGAGAAGGTTACCTAGGGTCTAAGCCTAAGCAAGAGGTCTTATTCAAGTGGTCATGTGCCTATCATCATCAGAGGAAGATCAAAACTCAAGGGGGTGGATAGTTATGGTTTACTTCCTATCTTGGAGGGCAATTTATGATCATCAAAGGATGTTGAGTCCGTGGTTGTGGATGGAGAATGTGGTGGGAGCTCATTGAATGTTTTGAGAGCAATTGTTGAGATATTATATCATGTATAAGAGGTTGCAATCAGAAGATTGCACACCTAGGGTTTCATCTACCTAGTGCAAGGTTAATTATGGATTTGAAGTGGTTTGAGACTTAATTCCAAGTCATTGTGATCATGAAAAGTTGTGTTGAAGCATCTAGGTGAAGGTGTGAGAAATACACAAGAAATGGGGGGTTTGAATTTGGTATTTACTCTATAAAAACTTTTTCTGGGTTTCTTTACTTGTTGCTTTCTATAGAGTTCTTTAAGATGCAATGCGGAAGCATATACATGATATATCCTGGTTCACTTGAGCAACTCTCAAGCTAATCCAGTCCACCCTTCCAAGGTGATTTCGCCTTACTCAAGCAAGGACTTAATCCACTATAACCAAACTGATTACAGTTGCACAAGCTAACTGCAGGTGACTAACAAATAGACAATGACACGTTCAGGGATCCCTTAGAATATAACGTCCATTGACATCCAATAGAATCCGATCACAAAGGATCTCCTATTAGACTTCCACAAATGACAACTGTGACTTGTCATCTCAAGTATTCTGATCTTCACAAGATCACTTGAGGAACCACTAATTCTAAAATGAATTTGTGTTGCCGGAGATTACAAGATTGCTTCTTATCAAGCAGATTACTCCTAATTAAGTACAAGGCAAGTATTGAGCAATAACTCCTTGCTTCCTAATACAGAAACTAATCTAAGGATAAATCTCTATGAGATTATTAGAACAGTAGTTTCCATATTGCTTAAAAGCTTTCTTATGTGAGCACTGCGGCTTCTTAGCATAACACTTTTCTTGTTAATCAACTATGTTGCTAACTTCACTCGTCAGCATCATTGCTTTGTAACAAGTTGGCTTGCTTTGTAATGAGCTTATTACTTTGTAATTGGCTTTCTTGCTTACCAATAAGCTAACATTTGAATGAATCAAATGTTCTTCTTTTATAGTGCAGCTTTGTGAGGGTAGAAATGTCATCTCTAATTCCAAAGGTTTTATCCCAATGGATAGAATAAGTTCACGTGTTGGAACAGTGACCTTTACTTGAACTTTAATATCTCAACATTGGAAACCACACTTATGAATAGTACCAACATCTTTGTCATAGTGAAATGTTTGCGTGTGTTGTACTGTAGTCTTCTTGACTTGATTCTTCTGATGATTCATCTGATGAGTAGTTCAGCAACTACTTTGGTATGAAAGCTTCAGCATCAGAGTTGTTTAAGCACATGTTTATCAGATTTAATAGCAGCAGCTTATCTGATGAGTAATACGCCTCTGTCTGGGTGAATTTTCTTCTGACATAATCTTCAACTTCAGAATCCAGTCTTCAGCATTCCAAGATCTAAGTTTCCTCTGAAACAGTATTGTGAATCTTCGTGGATGATTCTTCAGAAATCATGTCTTCAGAATCTTCAGAGACTTGATCTTCAGAACACGTCTTCAGAGTCTTTCTACACTTGGTCTTTAGAGCCTTCAGCCTTCAGAACTTCAAGTCATTAGAGTCTTCAGAGTAGTTCTTCAGAGGACTATATCTTCAGAGTCTTCAGAGTCTTAATCTTAAGAACCCTTAAGTCTTCAAAGTCTTTCTGCACTTGGTCTTTAGAGGACTTCCTTTAGAGACACTTGTTAGCTTCGAGATCAGATGCACTTCACAGAACAAAATCCACAACAGCATTGCAACTGCAATATCCAGCATCCTTGGATCTCTCTAATCGTGATCTGATTGATAACGCGAAAATATATCTATAAAATGACATGTGTTTTAACTAATGTTTGACCGGTTTCACCCCGAATTTGGGGCATTCCATGCTATTTGTCTAAGTATTATGCAGGTATTCGAAGAACATGTCCAAGCAAAGAAATATGAAGAAAAGGAGCAAAAACAAGTGAAAAATGGATGAAAAACCAAGTGAAAACCAGCAGAAACGAGCTTTACTGATGTGATCACCGTCACACAACCGTTATGATCGTCATGCGTGTGACGACCGTCACACCTCCATGACGACCGTCATGCAGCCAGAACGTGCAGAATGAAGTCACGTGCAAAATTTCCCCCTCAAAGACCAAAAGTGTGGCCACTAACTCCTACTTTTCTGCCTCAAACCCACTTCCTGAAGGAATAACCGTTAGATACTCTCCCTCTATAAAAGGAAGAGGTTGGGACCTGAAAAGAGGAGTCGCATTCAAGACAATAAAGTGCTGCCAATTCATCTTCAGAGCAACCTTTCCATTATTTTATTCTTATTTGTTTCTCTTTTCCTTCTCTGTATTCTTTGATATTTTGTAATTCCCATTTCCCTTGTACGATAAATTGGCACAAAGACCAGAATCCTGCCAACATTGTGGAGGATCTGCCCAAAGGCCAATTGGAATATTTACAGGTTTTTAATTTTAATCGTAATTGCAATTTTCATTATGATGCATGTTATTAATTACTGTTTTTATTTATGTATTACCATTTCT